GGAAGACGCTCAAACACCTAATATCAGACTAGTGGAAAAAAAACCACAATTTCTCATGTTTTCTTTTTCCTCTTGAGGAGAGGGAGGTCTGTTGGTTCCCACAGTCTTAGCTGGAGGCAACTTTCCTCCCCAGAAGAGTTTTGAATTCCAAGGTCTAACTAAGCTCTTTAAGAATCCAGAGCAGCCAGCCTGCTGAGTTAAGCCTGCTGGCAAATAATGTTTTATAACCTACTTCTTCCTACTCACCAGGAACAACGTCTCTGTCCTAGTGCTCTATCTAATTTAGGGTTAAGAAGTTTCCTTCAACTCCTTTCACATCCTGATTGCTAACCTCTGCCCTATTCAAAATCATTTTTAGGGGCTGCCTTTGGCTAACTTCACAGAGCTAGCTTGCTCCAAGGCCCCATTTCCCCTCCAGTTATAGTTCTTTCCTAAAAGATCCTTTGAGTTTCCCATGCAAATCAAAAGGGAGACAAGAACAAAAAAAATTCAAGATGGAACTTCTCTAACTTAACCCTTGTCAGTGACACATTAAAAAAAAAAGATTTTATTGATGTCCAGTCATGTCTGACCCTTCGTGACCCCATTTGGAGTTTTCTTGGCAAAGATACAGAAGTGGTTTGCCATTTTCTTCTCCAGCTCATTTTACAGATGAGGAAAGTAAGGTAAACAGGGTTAAATGACTTACCCAGGGTCACATAACTAGTAAGTGTTTGAGGCTGGATTTGAACTCAGGAAAATGACTCTTCTTGATTCTCAACCCAGTGTTCTATCCACTGTATTACCTAGATACCCATAAAAAAAAGATAGGAACTTAATAAAATTAAAAACTCTGGTTTTTAGAAATAAATCAACTTCCATCTTAACTGTACTTAAGGGATTTATCTATTTAAAGGATTCCTGCGGTAAATCCTTCTGTAGAGAATCAGATTGTGGAGAACTAGAAAGAGTAAACTACTGTTAGTAGGATGTAGTTTTATCTCTTACCCTATTATCTTTGTTACCTTGTGCATGTCACTTGACCTCCATTTAAAGCTCAGTTTTATAAATTGTAAAATGAGGGCAGGTTGGATTACGTGACCTCTGAGGTCCTTTTCTGTTTTAAAAGTTTTTGATTCTGTACATGAACATAATTGTTATTATTATTATTTTTTTACTTCATCCTCTAAGTATTTTCTTTTTTTAAGCCTGTGATATCACCATCAGTGCACCTAGGATCATAGAGATGGAGCTTAAAAGGGAGTGAGAGGTCATGGGGTTTAACCTCTTCATTTAACATATGAGGAAACTGAAGAGCAGGGATGTTAAATAGCTTGGCCAGTGTCACACAGGTAATAAGTGGCAGATCTGGGATTCAAACACATCTACCTATGCCCTGTGCCTGAGTTAAGTTCAAGGCTTATTCTACTGTATCAGACCACCACCTACACCATTAAATCACTGCAAATGCTGTGCCACATGGTCAGAATATTTTATGCCTTCTATCCTGATAATAAAAGCATAGGCCTCTACTTCACTAGTTACTCAACAATATTATTTACAGCTGGATTTATGGGCTGTTGTTTCATAGATTTTTGTTCAGGTCAAACGGGAGTATTTGCTATCATAATTACTTTCCCTTATTGGTTGTTTTTTTTATTGAGGTTACTGTTAAGCTGGACTTAGGTTCCAAGAGCAAAGCACTCAGAAGCTCTTAGCCTTGCTTCAGGCTATAGACGTGTCTCCCTGGAAAATGAAACCTCCAAGTTGCAGGGGTGACACTCATTAATAGCAACATTATCTTGAGGTAACGTGATCCTTTTAATGGATTTTTACTGCATCTGGAGGCCAAACTTTCCTGTAGTAATAATGACTCAAGGCATCTCCTGGGAAATTAAGAGAGACTGTATATAGAGAGTATGAGATCCACACACACTGCTATTGGCTAAGCTCTCTTTCCTATCAGGTACAGCTGATGAGCCCTTGCTATTATCATTAATCAGAACTAGCTGTTGTGAAGAAATTTAGGTAAAGTGAACAGGCCACAGGTATATCACTGGATGACTCTTAAAAAGTGTGTTCATAAATCCCTTAGCAAACGGTTCGTTTCCTTTCAGTAGAATGTAAACCCTCTGATGGCAGGTATTTGATTACTTTTCCATTTGTGTTCCCAACACTTAGCAGAGTGCCTGGTGCACAATAAATGCTTAATGGATTCCATAATTCTGTGCTGCCATAGGATTGGTAGAAGGGGAACAGTCCAAAGCCATAATGCTGTTCCCAGTGTAACCTATAAGTTGGTGATTCAGTTATGACTTCTCTAGTATCATCTCTGATAGCAATTGGAATATGAAGGCTTCAGAATCTATTTCTCTGAAGTGGAGGGTATGGTTTCAGAGCATGAATAATTACTGCCAGCAGGCAGGTAGCAGATATTTTTTAAGGTGTTTAAGATGTGCCAGGAATTGTGCAAAGTTCTGAGGACACAAATACAAGTTAAAAAAAAAAACCCACCCCACAAGGAGGAAGATAGCACAAAAGGGAGCCAAAAAGTGGGAGAGATGATACTTGCTTGAGGCCATGGTGGAAATTCAGGGAGTTGGAAGCAAAATCAGAAGGAGAATAATGGGTAGGGTTAGGATTCTGAAGGATGGTCAGCCTGAGCCCCTTCCCAAAATGAAGGCCCCTGGGGAACCCAGTAATAGGATAAGGGTGTGGGGATGGAAGGGCAGATGGATATTCAAGTGTAAGAAGGCTCCTAGCATTGAGAGAAGTATCAAGGTAAGAAGGCAGCTGAGGGTCAAGGCTATAGAGTCAGAAGTGAAGTTGGGAGGGGAATGAACGATGGCTGGACTGGACCTTCCTCAAAATGTAGTCCCCTGGAAGAATTTGGTACAGCAGTGGCACAAAAGTTAAACATGCAACATAGAAATTCTCGAAACAAGAAATCACTTTTAAAAAAATCATTATTAGGAATTATTATACCTGTTTCATCAACTGAATGACCACAGACAGGTTAATCAAGCTCTTTATGTCTAAGGCTTTTATCAGTAAAATGAAAAGAAGAGAGGGGGAAGGGTGTACTACTAAGTTTGTAACATTTTGACTCTAGCTCTAAAATTCCAAGATTCTAGGATTTTCAGTTCAGATCTCTCCTATTAAAATCCATTCAGATCAGAATTTATATATTAGCTCGGAGTGATAATCTGCCTAGTAAACTTATGTATTATACACAATTTAAATATATTATGTTGTAGCTTTAACCTGTTTCATTTTGTTTTATCCTTGGCAGATAGAAAGAATGGACTATATATTATACCTGTCCTCTAAATAAAAGTCTTTGGGTGTTCTCTCTTCCAGGCTGAATAATCTTTGTTCCTTTAACCTTTATTGATAACATTTGCTTTCATATCACCTACATTTCCTACTGTATCCCTTTCCAAACCCCTCTCAGAGAGTCATCCCTTATATGAAAGTAGGGGGAAAAAAAAGTTTAGAAAACTAATTAACTTATTTAAAATGTCCTCAATTCTATACCCATAGTTCCCCACCTTTGCAAAATAATGGTGAGGTGAAGAGTAGGGGAAGTGTCTTGTTTTTTGTCTTCTTTGGGGGTAAGCTTGATGATTATAATTGTAATGTGGACCACACTGGGCCCTACTGCCTGAAGGCCAGTTATATTAGATTTTGCCCTTTTACTAGAATCTCCAATCTCCTTAAAAGGGTTGGGAAGTTTTTAGGCTCTCTGCAAATGGCGTTAACTCCCATCAGCATTGTTCTCTCAATTGTAGGGGGTGGTCCCAGGGACCTAAGTTTCATTAGCCACTAGTAAATGTTCTTTTGTACAGAAATATTTACTTCCAGAGATACAATGTTTAAAAGTATACAGATGTATAGCTCCAATAGGTAGGAGGGATAATCGCCCTTCTCTCTCTTTTGCACCACTTGTCTCTAAGAAGGAGGTGATAACTTAGCTCAGTTCCTATAAAGCATAGCCCCAGTTAAAACTCCAAAAACTATCTTTGGGCTCAAATCTCAAGCACTCTGGCTTCTTAGGGCTTCTATACTGGACTGGCTGGCTACACCATACTGCAGTTCTGGTTCCAAGAACACCATGTCTCACACTTCCAGGTCCCATAGCAATCACCTCTACCACGTGAAATTGAGAAGGACAAACAACACAGAATAGAAACATACATTCCCAGGCCTATTTCTCAGAGCTAGGGTAAAAGAGGGAGAGAGAAAGGAGGTCCTGCCGTTCTTAATCATTCAGTTCATGGTGCCCTCACTATGTCTGAACAGGGATATTCAGGACAGAGCAGGAAAAGTGGCTAAAAATGAGTGGCCAAAAGAGAGCAGTGGTCTTAGTCTTGACAGTTTCAAAGGCACAGCCAGCCAAGCAAAGGATGCTGCATCATAGGGGATACTAAGGCCTCCATATTGGGCAATCTGGACATGTTCCAAACGCCTCTCAAGGGTGTCTCCATGTTAAGTGAACTGGACATGCCCCAAAAAGCCCATGTTATAAAATTTTACAGTATTCAGTTTTATTTGCTTCTTTGCTGTTCTTTCCATTACCATTTTTGTAATAATTGTTTTTGTTGTTTTCCTAGTTCTGTTTACTTCATTTTGTATCAGTTCATGTAAGTCTTCCCATGCTTCTCTGTAGTCATCATATTAATCATGTTTACAAAGCAGTAGTATTCCATTTCATTCAGTTTATTCAGTCATTTTCCAGAGAACGGACATTTGCATTTTTCCAGTATTTTTTTTACTATAAAAGTGTTGTCATAAATATTTATCATTAATCAACTTTGGATATGTTCCCATCATTGAAATCCCTTAACCTTAATAATAATAGTGCTTGTTATTTATATAGCACTTTGCCATTTACATAGTATTTTCTTTTTTATTTCTTTTTTGGAGGCAGTTGGGGTTAAGTGACTTGCCTAGGGTCACACAGCTAGTATCTGAGGCTGGATTTGAACTCAGGTCCTCCTGACTCCAGGGCCAGTTGCTCTATCCATGGTGCCACCTAGATGCTCCTCATAGCATTTTCACATACTTCATTTCATCTTCACAATTACTCTGCTAAATGGGCAGTACTAGGATTCTGTCTTTTTTTTTTTTTAATGAATTCAAATACTGAACTAAGGGATCAGAAAATGCAGGTTGTAGTCCTGGTTCTACCCAATATCAGCCATATGAACTTGGGAAAGCATTTAAATTCTGTCATCCTCAATATTCTCATCAGGGAGATGGATTAATAATGCCACACCATAGTGATTATGTGGGGGAACAAATCACATGTCAAAGTGTGAAGTAAATATAAGATATTATTGAGAATAATCTTTCTTCAGAGGTCTTACTTTCTGACTCTTTTCAGCACTGCTTTGGACATTCTGCAAATTTTCTGCCTTCCTCTTTGATGTAAAGCTCCATTTAGAGCTTGGTACATGGACCAGCGCTATGAGAGATAGAATGATTGTTGTACCTAGACCTCTGACAAGGGTGTTGGAGGAGAATCAGGTGGTCCTGACTTTGTTAGGCTAAGACAGCACAGGGTAGACACAAGTAGTCATAAATTTACATGGGCTAGGTCAGTCACCATAAAGTCAGGCAATATGGCAGAAGTGGAGAGGTGTCATCTGATGTAGCAGTCCAACTGGAAAAATAAATTAGGAAAAGTCAGGAACTAAGATTGAGGGGTTATAGCTGCTAGGCTTCCATAAGCATGCATTACAAGTTTTTGGCTTGTGGAACTTGTTATTAGAGAAGTTGCTTTAATAACTGGGCAGTTCCACTACCTTTCGTTGCTGGGAGAATTTAGGGCTACCTATTCAGATCTGCCAACTAGAATTAAAGATCTTTAGTTGTCTCTGACAAGGCATTTTTGTTTTATATTGCTTTATATGTCAGCCACCCTGGCTAAATCCTAGACACAGACTGAGAAGTTTCAAATGAGATCCAGATTACTTCAGGGTTCAGAGAGAAAGCTTTTGTCTTTGTCTTAGGATTCAGCAGAGACACTGCATGCAGATAGCTTCAGTTTCCTTGACTCTAAGTTGGGGATAATAGTACTTTTAATATGTATATAGGATGGTACAAAGCCTGGTGTGCTTGTTTGATCAAATCCATATAATAAAGGCAAAAATATGGAACCAAGGTTTGAAGTGGAGAGCACCGTCTCCTATAGTATTTCTCCACTTGGGTTTTTTGTTCTTATCTTTCCAGTCTTTCCCATTTTCATTTGTATGGAAGACCAAAGGGTCCTGTGGGGTTAAGATAATCCTCAGAGCCTGAGGTCTGCACAAGTTTGTACAAGTCCGCATTATTTTCACGTTGTATCATGAGTCAACTCATAGATTTAAAGTTGAGAAGATGTTTAGAAAGCATCTACTCCAACTCTCTCATTTTGGGGATGAAGAAACTGAGGCTCACAGAAATTAACTGGGTTTTCAAAGCAAGGGTTCTCCCAACTAGTAAATAGCAGAGACAAGATTTGAACCCAAGCCCTCTAATTGCAAATTCAATATTCTTTCCACTAAACCCTATGACTTTCTAATGTGTTATGGTTCAGTTTTTAAAAGGAATACTGAAAGTCATAATATGGCTCAGTTTCTCCCCTTTGAAGCAATCACCTTGAGAGGTTGTATGTTGCAATAATATTAATGTTGCTCAAGATATTTCTAAAACTCCTTATTACAAATGATCTTCAGCAGCAGTGGCACATCATTTCAAACAGTTTCAATGATGGTAAAACTTCATTACACAAAGATAGTTTTAATTTTTGGAAAAATTCAAAGATTATCCTTTAGAGATAAGTCTGATGCATAAACTCATGATAACTGAGATGTGGTTAGGGAATTTTGAGACTGATTATCTTCTGTGATTCCTAACAGTCTCTGAAGGGCAATGACAAAAGAAAAGTTTTGGACTATGGGAACATTGATGAAATAAGTATATGTCCTTCTGAGGTAACTGCTTTAAAGTTAAATTCATCTTTATAGCTGGACAAATGAGTTTTGGTGTCCTTACTTAAAAGAAAATTAATATCATGTCTCTGTTGTCCCTGGCTCCACATGCTGCCTGCTAAACTAAAAAGACCATCAAATTAAATGAAACATTAAATTTTGATTCAACATTGATAAGAACCAGAGAAGAATCTATGTTTCTGTTCCACATTACCAGAAACAACAAATCCCACTGGCCCTGGTACTTACGAAGAACAGAATGATGTTTTTCAAGTTTTCATTTTAAGGAGAAAGGAAACGATCCCATTCATAAAATCGTTTGCCTGAAATGTAAATAACAGCAGTAATCTAAATCAGATGCGAGTAGAGATTTTGACAGCCCCTTCACATGTCACTTGTAGTCAGCTTCACCATAATTTCAGCCGTTGACAGAAATTTAACTTTGCTTTCTTCAGGTAACATTCTCAGAGGAAAAAATATTGTTTCTTTCTTTAACCACCTTGTTCTGTATTTTGGGAAAGAACTATTTAAATTCATTTTTCTGTCATTTGCAGCTGAGTCCCTCAGCGGGTGGCTGTCAGTAACAGCTTTCCTCCGAGTAATTATTACTGCCATGTGGCACGTGCACAAAGTCTTCACTAATGTTTATGTTTGTGTGTATGTGCTTGTGTGCTCCTCAAACAGTTGAACTCTTAATAGGTTAGACTGGACTTACAGTGTGACTGATAGCCTAAGTGTAGTATTTCAGTAGCTTCTTAGAAGTGATCTTAATGCATATGGAAAATCAAAGGGTGATAGACACAGTTGTTTTCCGGCTTTGAATGCCTTAATTAGCATTGCCTGAACGTCCTGATCATCTGTTGACAGCAGAAAGCAATCTTCAAATTCAGGGTAATTTATGACACTGTACAAGAGTTGAAGCCAGCTACTTTTGAGTTGGTTGGTGACCTTCTCATTAGTCAGCAATCAGAACTCCAGAAATAACTTGGTTGTTCATTTTAAAATGATAAAAAAAAAAAAGAGGCGGGTGTGTGCAAGAATGCTTTTCTCCCCCTCCACAATTGACTTAGATTTGTCATTTTGTTTATGTAAATTACAATCCACAAAATACACATAGGAGAAACATCTCCACATTGATGTAACTTTCTTTTCCTTTTCAAAAGACGACTACAACAAATGGCAGGGAGATAGAAGCTGTTTTATCCTTTCTCAACCCTTAGATGACCAGCATGAAGACATTCTGTGAATTCAGTTTCAGTAAGGAAACACTTGTGTCTTAGACTGACTCCACTCATCAGAAAAGATTTGGAAAGCATTGTACAAACCTTAAAGCACCATATAAATGCTACCTGTCATCAGCATCATCAATTTGGCTCTTCAGTGAACCTCAGAGACTATCTGGTCTAACATCACTCACTCCCTTACACAAAGAGTAAATGTCAGAGGAGACATTTGAACCCTGGTCCTTTGACTCTAGAGCCTTTACACTCTCACCTCACTGCCTCCTCTGGGAGAGTGAACAGGAGAGCAGCCTTAGATAATAGGAAGTTCTCTTTCACTGGTAAGTACTGACTTACTGTATGATATTAGGCAAACTGCCCAGCTTCTCTGGCTCCCGTTTATACAGCACTTAATGGTTTACAGAAGTGCTTTCTTCATGACAACCCTGTGAAGTAGCTAATGTGCCCTTATTATCATTTTACAGATGAGGAAACTGAGATTCACTTCCCCTGAGACTCAGGGGTTCGGTAACTTACCCACAATCACACAATGTCAGAGCTGGAATTCAAATGTGCATTTCTCCTGACTTTAAATTCACCACGCTGCCTTCCATAGTTGTAAAATGTGGACTCTGGACCTTAGAATTAGACAGGAATCATACAACTTTAACATTTACATATTAGTAAATATTTACCAAGCATTTGTAATAAATGTGCAAGGCAGGATAGGGCAGGGGCACAACAATGAATAAATCCCAATACCTGTCCTCAGAGAGCTCTCAGAGAAAATATTTGCACTGATAAATATAAGTTTAAAGGTGAATATAGAATAAAAAAGGCATTAAATGTTTCCTTAGGAAACAATTTTTTTAATGTTGTGTGCCCAGCACTATGCTAAGTGCTTTTTTCCCCCCATGATACTATCTCATTTGGCCTTCACAGCAAAATTAGGAAGCCAGTGTTATTGTTAGATTCAGTCAAAGAAACTGAGGCAAAGGTTAAGTGACTTGCCCAGGGTCGTACAGCTAGTTAAGGGTCAGAGGCAAGATCTGAACTCATGTTTTCCTGACTCTAGGCCCGGTGCTCTATCCACTGTTTCATCTAGCTGCCTTCCGAAAAGAGAGATATCACTTCCGTCTAGGTGGAATAGAAGAAAGTTTCATAAAAGATATTGCATGTAATTACAATTCCCATGCTAGGTTGGACCCATCTAGCCCACGATCTGCCTGCTTGTTAGCCCAGAGGGTTATTTGTAAAGAAAGCTGGCATTCATATTGGCAACTTCAAAAGTTCAGAGGTGGACATACCCTCACAATTTTTTTTTACTTCCTCATAAATAACCTGTTATTGCTTGAACATCCACATATTGTCTAATCCTTTTTTAAACCTATTTTCATTTTCACAAAAGAATAACATTTTCAATAACCTTGTCATCATCATCATTAAGTATTGATTAAGAACCAACTAGTCACTCTGTGGAGTATAAGAGAACACAAAAAGGGGAAGAAACCCTCCTTCTTAGGACTTAGCAGGTAATTCTCCCTCCTGATATATCTCCGTTTCATTCCAATAATCACTAAGTCACTCTCTCCTTTTCTCCTCTCCCACCCATCTGGGAAACTCACAGTTTTATGTCTTGGTTTATTCCGTCTGGGTCAGTTTTGCCCACTTCTCTCTTGCAGGGGAAGAGCTGTTCTCCACTCCAGACACTCCACAAAGGACAGTGCCCGGCTTGTGCCAGAGAACAGCAGAATGGAGCCACTAGCAGGGTAGCCCTGGCACTTTTGCTGCCTGCTATACTAGCTGCTGGCTCTGAGCAGAGGAGAGCTATATTCCATTTCAAGGGCAAAGTGATACCTGGAATGCGTCAAATTGGGGCTGATTGCCCCAGGCTCATTCAAGAACACTTCTTCACTACTGTGGAAACTCAGAGCCAGGGAGCTGGACAGTTGATCCAGAGAGGCAAAGGGCAGAGCTGACCTACCTTCACTGATACACTGGGCTTTGCCTCTTGCCAAAAACATCCATCAGGCTATGTGTTTTTACTTTCTGTTGCGTAGTGGAAAGAACCCTGGGTGATTTGGATTCTGAAGTCTGAGGTTCCAATTAATTCTGTTTGAGCTCTTTTCTTCCCAAATAACTGGGAACAAATCACTTTGATTCTGGGAGCCCATTTCCCCAGCAGCAGCTAGGTGGTACAGTGGATAGAGTGCTGGGTCTAGAATCAAGAAGACTTGAGTTCAGATCCAGCCTCAGACACTTCCTAGCTGTGTGACCTTACTAGGCAAGTCACTTAATCCTGTTTGCCTTAATTTCCTCATTTGTAAAATGACCTGGAGAAGGAAATGGCAAACCATACCCTGTGTCTTTGCCAAGAAAACCCTAAATAGGGTCACAAAGAGGAGGACACAACTAAAAAGAGTGAACAACAAACAAAAAAATGAGTTGAAGTAGATGATTTCACAACTTCGTTCTAGTTTGAAATCCTGTGATTACATTTTCTTTCCTTATTCTGCTGTCTTACCTTCCTCATGAGGCTGATGTTGATGTTTATTTTAATCATGTTTCACCTATTGAAACATTAGAAGGGATTAGATTGAGGGAATGGAGCACAATGTGATTTCTCTTCCTATGCTTGGCCCTGTCAAAGGGAAATCATTAGTTTTTACTTTAGTTGACTTGTTGAAGGACAAATATGTAGCAAATTTCAGCAGCAGGATTTGAATCCAGGTCTCCTGACATCAGGTTCAATGTCTTTTTACTTTGTAGCAGGCTTTTTTCAATGGCACGAGTAGATTCTTTTTCAGATAAGGGTTGAAATAAATGACCACTGAAATCCTTGCCAACTCTGAAATTCTTTGATTCTCATGGAAGCCAGTTGAACAAAGGTGACTAGAATTCAGAGGGTGAGGGGGATAGAATGTGAGTGTCTTGAGGGTAGGGACAATTTGTTTTTGCCTTTCTTTATATTATCAGTACTAAGCATAATGCCTGGTTCATAATATATCTTTAATACATACTTGTTGACTCATGGGGAAATTTGGGGAAAATAGTGGAAAGAATACTTCTCTGTCTACTTAGGAGAGAACCTTATGATTTATAAAGAGCTTGGTTTGTGGTAAGATGCCATTTTCTAAGAGGCCCACAGCATGCCAGTTGCCTCACAGAACTCAGGAAACTTGAAACATGTTGTGTGTAGGACCATGTTGGGAAGTTACTCCCTCTATGATAATGATGATTTGTCCTTGTGGTAGACATGAACCTGTGGTAATCACATTAGCCAAACACCTTTTGGCCCATTGGAGTCTTTTCTAGTTTCTAGTGCCTTGTTTTGGAACTGCCAAGACAGATGAGAATTAGAAAGTGCCTTGGAATTCTGAGGCTCATGGAATTGGGCACTGCCCAGGCTGGGTAAGTAAGGTTATTGTTGACCAATAGAAACAGATATGAGGAGGCTGAGAAAAGGCAGGGAGTGGGAGATTTTGGATTACTGCCAAGGATAGCAAACATTGTTTAAAAATGATTGAACTAATCCCAGTGGGTGTTGGGGGAACATAATGGAAGGAGCTGACTCTAGATGTGGTGACAGCCGAATAAACTCATCACTTGCTCTGTTCCCCAGACAAGTGACAGGGGAATGGATTGAGGGAGACTGCCAGCCAGCAACAAAGGGAGAAATGGCAGCAGAGAAGGGGTTCAGGAATTCTGTATCTGCAAAATAATTCATAAGGGGAGGATAGGAGTGAGCCTGGCTTTGGTAAGAGGGGTGCATGAGTCAGAGAACTAAAAAAGGATTAGGAAAGGTCCAGTTGCTACTTGGCTTCCTTCAATATCATCACTATACTTCTCTTCTGCTCAAAACTGTATGCCAGTTCTCTGTTGCCTGTCCTATGAGGTCAATACCGCTTATTTGGGCATTAATATTTCTCCATAATCTGGAACTAGCCTAGCTTATGCAGACATTTTCCCTACTGTGCTTCACAATGTATCCATTGTTCCTAATAAGCTAATCTCTCCTTGTTCTTAGCATGTTCCTTATTTATAGGGTCACAGACTTTGATCTGAAAAGGGTCATAAAGAACATTTAGCCTTTCACCCTTATTTAATGGATAAGGAAACTGGGACCCAGATAAATTATTGACATGGCCATGGTCAGATAGGTAGAGTTTGAATTTGGACTCAAGCCCTTATTGCTTCTCATTCTTTTGCCTGGGACCAATAAGAAGCTTGCTCCCTATTTCTTATGACAGTCTACTTCCCTTTGTGGTCACATCATGTCCACATTGCACATCCTGTCCTTTGTTTTGTTTGTTGGTTTGTTAATTTATTTTGTTTTGGTTGGGTTTTTGAAATGTGGCTCCCATAACTGGACATAGTTTTCAAGGTATTATATGGCTAGGGTAGAAAACAGGACTTCCTCTTCTCTTACCTTCCACTCTGTTTCTCTGTTCCTGCAGCTCAGGATCACATTAGCATATCTGGCTGCCAAGTCACACTGAGTCATATTGAGTTTTCACCACTCTAATGCTTTTAGGCCTTTACCACATATAATGATGTCTAGTTTTTGTTTTTTCTTATTAATTTATTTTAAACTTAAATACAAAAACACAATAAGAAAAGAAAAAAAACATATTGCAAACTTAAATATTAAAACAAATAAAAAATAAGAAAAGAAAAAAAGCATTCCTATGTGTACAATAGAACTTAAGAGAAGATTCAAAATATGCAACAATAAATTCTCATTTCAAGAAAGCCTATATAATAATAAATACTACGTGTTGTGTTGAGAGCTGACCATCTTTTCTTTGTTTCCTTGTAAGTTTTCTTTTGTTCTCTGCTGTGCATTTTTTATTTTGTTCTTTTTCCCCTGCTTCTTTCCCCCTCCTGCCCCTAAGAAAGTACAATTAAACATGTATGTATGTATGTATGTATGTATATATGTATATATGTATATATACACCCATATACACAGTTTTATTATTTCTTGTTCTCTTATAGCTTTGCTGGCTTCCCATTGCTCAATTCTAATTTTCAAGGAGTCATTTCCTTCATTAAAATTCTGGATCTCCTCTTCTAATTGGTTGTCTTTCTTTTCATAATGTGCTTATTTTTCTTGGATTGTTATTATTTCTAAAAATTGTTTCTCAATCTCTCTCATTTGATTTTCAAAGTTTTTTTTTTTAGTTCTTCCATGAATTCTTTTTGGTCAGGTGACCATTTGACATTACTCTTTGGGGCTAGAGGGCCTTTTTTTGCTTTATTATCCTCCTCTGAAGACAAACCTTATTTTTCTTTATTCTCATAGTAACTTTCTATGTTGAATTCTTTCTTCTTTTCTGGCTCATTTTTTTTTAACTTGTAGCAGCTTATTTTTGGTAATCACCTTTAGCCCAGGGATATGGATATGTAGGGGGGGTGCCTCTGGCCTTAGGTCCTCCTTCAGTTCTTTCCTGCAGCTTGAAAATGAAACCAAGAACTCCACCCTCCTGTAAGTACCCATATCTAGTGGCGCCCCACTGCTTCTGCACTCACTGGGCCTGTGCTAGTTCTTTCTTGCCTATGATCACATCTACCCAGCACAGCTGGGTCTGTAGTTCCTTATCAGCAGAGGTTCCCTCAGTCTTCCCCAGCTCAGATGCCAGGCTCCTGGGAAGTGAAAGTTCCTGTCTGTGGCTGGGCCTGAGGCTACCTCCCAACCCAGCTGGCCTCAGGACTTGCCACTTGCTCTTTTAGTGGAACTAGCCTGTTGGCATTTACTCTTCACAGGGACCAAATGTTGGTCCTGATTGTCCCGGGAGGACCACTGCTCTTCCCCAACTCTTGTTTATTTTATCCTGTTTGTGGAGAAAATCTGAAGAGCTTGGAATGTTCTGACCTACTGAGTCATCTTCCCAGAATCCTCTCTGATATCTAGTTATATAGTTAATTTTGCCTTCTTCTTGTTGTTGTCATTTCTATTTTTTTTAAGCCAGGTACCATCCTCCCTCCCTCATGCTTTGTACATGCTGTTTGCCTAGCTAGATTCTACTTGTCATTCAGCAGCACCATTCAACAGGTGTTTATTAAGTGCCTACTAAATGCCAGGCAAGCTCAGCTCAAGACCTTCCTCCAGGAAGTGTTCTCTGGCTCCTCTCTCTACATATATATATATATATATATATATATATATATAATATATATATATATATATATATATATATATATCCCTTCTTTGGACTCTACAATATTAACAGCCTATATGGTCATAGGCAGGTACCTGATTATATACTAATTCTCTTGTATTTATCACTAATTGTTTTAGGTGTTTTACCACTATCTCTCCAAATATGTGGTTTTTGAGGATGATGAACCTAGGGCAAGTATAGTGTGATGGGAAGAGCACTGAATCTGGATTCAGGACAGACCTGGGTAAAGTCTGGCTTCTAATATGTCCCAGCTGTGTGACCTAGAGAAAAGCTCTCCAGTTGATCTGTACGTCAATTTTTTCATCTGTAAAATGAGCATAATAAGACTTATCTTACCTACTGAAAAAGGCTCTTGTAACAACAACAAGCATGTTAAATGCTTTATAAAACTTAAAGTACTATCAGAATATTGCATAATCTTATTTTATATTCTCTCTAGTAATAATAGATCTAAATACATCATAGGTCACTGAAAAATGTGTGTTGCTTAATTGATAGTAACTTAGGAACAGTAAGCTGAATGTTTATTTTTCTATGTTCTTAAGGTCTATCCAAATTCTTTGGTTGAATTCCAGATCCGACTGAGGTTTTCTTGGAACTTGAGTGGTAGAAGATAGAGAAGTTGGACTTTTCCACTAATAATGACTAACAGAGGTTTGAAATGGTCTTGGAACATTTCTTCCTTATATGAAATTCTGTAGGGAATCCAGAGAACTATACCCCGAAGTCCCTACCTGGAAGGAGCTTACAATTTAGATAGAATGATTACTTACACACATAGATGGTTAAATACTAGCAAAAGAATCAAAAGAACAACAACCACACTAGAAATATCACAAGGCAGGACATGATTAAGTGATGAGTGAGTGGAATAGACAATGCATAACGTGTGTTCAGAGGAGGAGGTTATCACTGTAAGATAACTGGATGAAGAGAGACAAGATAAGCCTTGAAATTTTGGCTAGACCAGAAGAAAAGGGGTGGACTTTGCAAATGTCAAGAATAGCCTTAACATAAATACAGAGGTGGGAAATCACAGATTGTTTTAGGAAGAGTGTGAGTGGAACATATGGCCTAGAGCAGAGAGGACTAACACAAGATAACACTGGAAAGATAAGCTTGGGGAAGAGATTAAGGAAGATGATATATTCCTGGGGAACCAAACCGCATAAGGAGACACTTAACATTTACATTTATACATGAGACAGTGAGTAAAGTAGTCATTAAGCTAGAGAGTAAATAGAGGAGAGTAGTGGAAAATAACAATGTGAAAGTTGGAAGGTGGTTTGGGGATGAGATGGTTGATGCTCTTGAATATCAAGCTGAGAGTTTGGATGGCATCCTAAAGGTAATAAAAGCCAGACTTTTGAGAGGATGAGTGACATAATGAAAATGGTGTTTTCGGAAGATTTCTCTGGCAACCCTGTGTAGGATGAATTGGAATAGAGAGAGACAGGAGATGCAGAGATCTAAAAGAGGCTATTGGAATAATGTGTTAAGGAGTGTCTCCCAAAAGTCTTAGTGGTCTAAGACTATTGAAACCCTGTGGATGGGGATGAAGCACAAGGTTTTGGAAGTAGCAATAGAAAAATCAAGTCACCTGACCCAGATGAACCATGTCTTCACATCCTCAAAGAACTGGAAGATGTGATTCCTGAGACACTGTCAGTGATATTTGAAAAACCATAGAAAATGAGAGAGGAATAACAAACAACATTGATGAAGGGCAAGTGTTGTGCTGATTTAAAAAGGAGAACAGAGTTTGAAAAGTAGAGACCAGTAAACTTGGCTTGGATTCATAGGAAAATTTAAAAATGAATCATTAAAGAAATGATTGGTGCACATCAAGATAGGAAAGTCTTTAGTCATGGCAAAGAGCTGGCGCGGCTTGATGACAAACGGGTCATGTCAAACTAACCTCATTTCCTTTTGTTAAAAAACTGCATTTCTAAACAAGGAAAAGATGGGAGATTTGGGTATAGTTTGACTAGATTTTAGTGAAACTTTTGATAAGGTATCTGATAATACTTTTGTTTTGAAGATGGAGAGATAAGAATCAAAGGATAAAGTAGTCAGGTGCATTCAGATGTGATTGGGTGACCACACTATAAGACTAGTTGAAAATGGTTCCATGTGAGTGTGGTATGAGGTCTGTAGTGGAGAGCTGTAGATATCAATGCTTGGGCATGTGCTGTTCAATATTTTTATCAGTGACTTAGATAAAGTCATTTTACACAGAATTCCATCCAAACGCCTTAGCTTGATGGCATAGTTCTAATTTGCAGATGGTCCAATGCTGGGAAGAATAGCTAACACAACCTATAAAAGAGTCAGGATCCAAAAAGATCTTGGTAGGCTAGAACACTAAACTAATAAGGTGAAATTCATCAGGGCAAAATGTAAAGTCTTTCACTTAGGTCCAAAAAAAAAATTAACTTCACAGATATGAGAGGCATAACAATACAGCAAATGCTCTGAAAAAAGATTTGGGAATTGTAGCAGGCTGCTAGCTTTACTTGAGCCAGTAGTGGGATGGAACAGCTGAAAAAAAAAAAACAAAAAAAAATTCAAAACTTTATCCTATTTTAGACATCATGAAGAGGAATGTAACTTATAGAAATAGGGAAGAGGTAGTCCTAATGTACTCTGCCTTTGTCTCATCTCATCTGGAGTATTTTTTTTTCAGTTCATAGCACTACACTTTATGAAGAACTCTGATAAACTGGAGGAAGTACAGAGGAAGACACGTTTAGCCTTTGGGGATGTTTAGGCTGGACAAGAAAAGACTTAGTGGGAACATGCTAACTGTCTTCACAAATTTAAAGGATTGTCATATAAGAAAAGAGTTAAACTTGTCCTGCTTGACCTAAAAGAATACAAATGAAAAGATAGAAATGAAAGGGTAGAAGCTTCAGTGAGGCAAATTTAGGCTAGATGTCATGAAAAACTTCTTACTGATAAAAGCTGTCCAAAAGTGGTGGGTTGCTCCTTCTTGGAAGTCTTCGAGCAGCAACAGTTGGATGACAATAATTTTGGTTATTTTACAGTAGAGAATCCTTTTGTGTATGATTTGGACTAGGTGGTCACTGAAGGGCCTTCTAAATCCTAATATCTGTGAATTAGAAAAATGGAGGTGTCAACAGGACTTGATAATTGGATTCAAAATTTGAGGTTCAAAGACAAGTGTAAAAAATAACTAATATTTAGTGACTTGAAAAATGATTGAAACTTCTCAGTGCCTTGCCCACATAAATGCTCAGTGAATGTTAATTGAATTGAATGAAGAAGATCTTTGTTTCCAAACCTCCTATTCCCTGGGGTTTTGGGTTCCTGCTTCCCAAGTAGGGAAACCTGGTTTGGACCATCACCCTGAAGGAGCAGTTTAGTCCCAAAGAAGAGCAACTTAAATATGTCAGGGATGTTGATAAATCCAGTCTTCCTCATTTCCTGGACATTAGGATTGATTGGGGTCTATTTTAAAGCCTTAGGTGTGTGGGGGTAGAGATGGAGTATCTTAAATGGTATTGGTTCCCTACAAAATGATTTTTTGTTTGTATGGTAGGCAGGAGAAGATGATAATAGTAACATATGATATAAACCCTTGCTTGGAATAATACATCAGAAGCTTGCTATCTTTTATGGACTGACAAGCATATCTCCATACTAAAAACACTGGATTCAAAATATTATGGAGAATTCAAACAATAAACTATTAAATATTAGACCATCATCATGGACCAACTTGCTGCTTATAATCACCTGATGTCAGTTGGTTTCTGTGGCTAGGTTAAGACACATAGAGGGTCCTGGTGTTGGGTTTGCCTACTTCACCACACTGGGACAGGATCTACCGCCGATTTGCTAAAGTGGAGCTTGCTGCTGGTTTGATGGGATGCTTCCTGTCCTGGAATGTGCTCCCCTTTTACCCGAGTGAAATGAACCTTTGTTGACAATATTGTAAGTTTTTTGGGCTGAAAGATTGTTTCACCCTGTCTTTTTGCTCATTCTGCTATTCCAAGATTTTTATAGATCAGGTTTTTTTTTTAAATTACAAACTCTAATAATCTCCAAGCTACATTGAACAAAAAGCTTTAAAAATATAGAGACTTAGCAAAATACATCAAAATCTTGTCAGAACAGAATTCAATGTATATCGTCCCTATTGTCCTGCCTGACCCTGGAGTTGTGGTGAGTATGCTCTCAGTGAGATTACAGAGGATGATCTAACACCCTTGTACTTTTATTCAACTATAAAACTATTTTTCCCACCTGTACATTAGTCTACAGGAAACCTCCTTACTTTTGAACTTTTTCCTTCCTAACCTCATAAAAAATGAGAATGAGAGGATAATGATAATAACAATTAATAAATATTTATGAGGTATTTAAGACTTGTAAAGCACTTTAAGAAAAAGTTAGGATTAACCTGTTTGAGACCACATCTACTAGATGAGTATTTCCCTCAAGAGACATATCTTATTATCATATATTTTAGCTTCTGCATTTTATTCTGAATTCACTTAGAGCTGTATCCAAGGTACAATCACCCTAGGCCCTGTGCTTTAGGGTTTAGGGAATCCTCTAATTGGAGGCCACATAGCTGAAGAGGTATCTCTAGTTGATGTTAAAAATAACTGAGACAGTCTGCCCATAATTGCTTTCTCTCTTCTCAACATAAAATTTAGAATTTAAAAAATTCTGAGATATCATCTAGTCTGTGGATTCCCAACAGTTTTGTGTGTCATGGGACACCTTTGTCTGTCTGGTGATGCCTATGGACCCCTTTTTTAGAATTATTATTTTTTTTAAATCGTAATTGAAGGAAATGCTAGATTTTAAAGTAGATACTTTTTTCCATCCAAGTTCAATATCTTCTGAAATCTATTCATGAATCCTAAGTTCAGAATGCTTGATCTAATATGACTCTATAACTTTACAAAAGAGGAAAGTAGGGACTTCTGGGAGCTAAGATGACGGAGTAAGCAGTAAATTACTGTAACTCTCCCATATTTACCTCCAAACAACCATAAAATAGTGCCCCAAAACAAATCCTGGAACAGCAAAAAGATGGGATGAAACAGTCTTTTAGCCCAAGAAACTTAGACAATGGGCAAAAAACATTCATCTCACTCAGGTAAAAGGGGAGCACATTCCAGGACAGGAAGCTTCCCAGAAAACCAGCAGCAAGCCCCACCTCAGCAAACCAGTGGTAGATCCTGAACCCTAGTGTGGTGAAGTAGGCAAACTCAACAACCGGACCCCCCCACACACACACACACTTCTTCACCTAGCCACAGGAACCAGCAGACTCCAGCTCTGTGAACCACTTCATGCTTCAGCACAGCCTAGGGCAAACGGGCATCCTCCAGCACGACAAGAAAGTAGGCCAGACTTCCATGTGTTTCAGTGTAGCCTCAAGGAAATGCAGAAACACCCCACTGGGCCTCAGCACATCCCAGACAGCACCACTAGGACCCCAGCTCAACACCAGGTAAGCTGCCAGACCTCTAGGGCCTCCAGCAGTGCCAGTCACCCACACCCCACGCATAACATCAGACAAGAGGGTACCCCAGGGGCCTCAGCACAATATCAGCATAACACCAAATAAACAGCCAGGGCCTTTAGCCATTGGCACAAGAAGCCTGAGACAATGTCCCTTCCACCCCTGGTGCAGAGCTCAAATTTAAAATAAAGGAAAAAGGAAAAAAAAAAAGATGATAAAAAAATAAAAATAAAGATTCTGACCATAGAGATTTGTTATGATGACAGGGAAGGTCAAGACACAAACTCAGAAGACAACAACATCAAAACATCTATGGCAAAACTGCAAAGAAAAATGGGAAGTGGTCTCAATACTAGAAAGAACTCATGGAAGAGCTCAAAAAAGGAGCTTAAAAATCATATGAGAGGTAGAAGAAAAATTGGGAAAAGAAAAGAGAGTGATGCAAGAGAATTATGAAAAAAGGATCAACAGCTTGGAAAACTGCTTAAAAAATAGAATTGATCCAATGGAAAAAAAAATACAAAAATCCACTGAAGAAAACAACTCTTTAGAGAGTACAATTGGTCAAATGGAAAAGAAAGTGCAACAGTGCCTTAAAAGTGAGAATTGACCCAGCAATACCACTTCTAAGTCTATATCCCAAAGAGATCATGAAAATGGGAAAAGGACCCACATGTATAAAAATATTTATAATAGCTCTTTTTGTGGTGCAAAGAATTAGAAATTGAGGGGATGCCCATCAGTTGAGGAATGGCCGAACAAGAATATGAATGTAATGGAATTCTATTGTGCTATAAGAAATAATGAGAAGGCAGAGTTCAGAAAAACCTGGAAAGACATATGAACTGATGCTGAATGAAGTGAGAAGAACCAGGAGAACACTGTACACAGTAACAGCGACATTGTGTGATGACTAAATTTGATAAACTTATCTCTTCTTAGCAATACAAGGATTTAAGACAACTCCAAAAGACTCATGATGAAAAATTCTGTCCATATCCAGAAAAAGAATTATGGAGTCTGAATGCATATCAAAGCATATTATTTGCTTTCTCTTTTTTTGTTTCTTTTTTCTCATAATTTCTCACCTTGGTTCTAATTCTTCTTTACAACATGATTAATGTGAAAATAGGTTTAATATGAATGTATATGTTGAGCCTATATCAATTTACACACCATCTGGGGCTGGAGGGAAGGGAGAGATGGGGAGAAAATTTGGAACTCAAAATTTTATGGAAATGAATGTTGGAAACTAAACATAAATAAATAAATAAAATATATATCTATATATATACATAAATATGCACATATACATATATATTATTGAATTAAATTTTTAAAAGTGAGAATTGGCAAGTGGATGCTATGATCCTATGAGACATCAAGATCAAACAAATTCAAAAGAATGAGAAATTGGAAGAAAATGTAAAATACCTCATGGGAAAAAGAACTGACCTGGAAAATAGATCCAGGAGAGACAATATCAGAATTATTGGGCTCCCTGAAAGCCATTATCAAAAGGAGGACCTGGACACATCTTTCAAGAAATTATCAAGGAAAATTGGCCTGCTATCCTGGAACCAGAGAGCAAAATAGGCATCAAAAGAATTCACCAATCACCTCAAGGAAAGAGATCCCAAAATATAAACTCCAAGAATGTTATAGTTAAATTTCAGAACTATCAAGTCAAATAAAATATACTAAAAGTGTCCAGAAACAAAAGAAAAAAGTAGGCCCCAAAGAAGTTAAGTGACTTTCCCATTATCATACAGGTAGAGAGCAGTAGAGCCAAGACTGTAGCCCAAGTCATCTGACTCCAGTTACAGTGTTTTATTTTTGTTTTTTCATAAATCATACTTCGTCATCAAGTCAGAGGGTTTGAATTGCCCTTTCTTCCTTCCCTGTATCCCTCAAGTTTCATTTTTGTGACTTTTCCTCTCCCTGGCTGCTCTTGACTTTTTGGTAGGATTTTAGGTTTAGAAATCTATCTTAAATATTGGGGGATGTAGGGAGGCGAGTACAAAATGTGATTAGTCTTTATGGATGCTCCTGGACTCCTCATTTCACGAAAGGAGGCACTCAGGTATATTTCCTTCCTTAGATGTTTAAGAAGATTTTAGTATAGATCAAAGGGATCTAATATATCAAAATTTCTCCTAGAAGAAATATATAATATAAATACAGAAGTAATGATGGTGATAACTTATATTTGTGTAAAATAAGATTTATAAAGAAACAAGGATAAGCCAGTTATTCTATTTAGTAGAGAAGATCCAGGAAGTAGAGGAGTCCTACACCAAAGCTGTAAAGAATGAGCCCTACTCAGGGTCTCCAATGAATTTAGGAAGATGATTTTCACATCACAGAGAAGAACAGATGTGATTGAATAAACATCCCTGAGCACTAAGAATTGTTTTTTCTTCTTGGCCTATATGTTTTTTCCTACCTGTCAAAGTATAAATTTCACTCTATTCATAGACATGACTGTGATTAGCACAGAAGCCTCTGAAATCCATGGATAAGGTTTATTCCTTATCCTTTTTTGGCTTAATACTTACTGAAGGAATCAACCAGATTCCATCTG